CCCCACGCCACCGATTAACACACAAACTTAACCTCTCTAAAGATTCAATCGCCCTTCCTACTCGACCGAGCCAGCACATTGCAACACGTCGGCTCCCGCAACGAAGCCGACACTCTCATGCTTCACGTCTAGGAGATTCTTCCAATCAGGGCAACTGGCTAGGAGCAGTCTAGCACATGTTCATCCTCGAGGTGATCAAGCCAAAGGCCCTCGCCCATTCGGTCTTCCATAGCGGACGAGTGGGCAGCCATGGGTCAAATGTTTGCGCATTTTATTTGGCCCTTTGGCATCTAGTAAAGAGTGTCGTGGAATCACAAGCGCAAGTCTTACGGTCCAACAAGTCGACCGGGCCGATTCAATCCCACTCAATCACCCGAGTACCCCAACCGAACGAACATTCAATTTAACATCATCTCCAACTCATTCGACCAGGCATGACAAGCGGATACCCCTGTCATGTGATTTTAGTTCACTTCTCCAGTTGACAGGACACACCGAACGAGCACGCGAGCCATAGAAGTCTCGTTATCTTAGTCCCGTCGACCCTTCACACTGATCGAGCACACCCTCTTGGGGTGATTGCACATTCTGATCAGCTTTGATACCGAGCGACCCTTGACTACAAATCACCTACATCAAACTGGTCAGCTACACCGACAATCGGTTGTCCAAGAAGAGAGACTGAGCACGCCTCGATCGCTTTCTACTCTCTGACTTAAGAAAAACTTAACTCAAAGAGTGGGGGGCAAACTATTAGGCCAAAAATCGTCTTTGGCCCAAATAGGAGAACGGGACTGAATGAGGAAGAGACCAGGCCCAATCTCGATACGGCCCCATCCGGATTAGGCCCATTTTATACAAGATATAGTCAGCCCAAACCATCTAGGCACAAGCCTCCCAATCCCAATTCACTTCCTAGACCTATGAGCGAGTTCAAAGCCCACGACACCCACAAATCACCTTCCTATTCGGGATCAATCTCCTATTCGAGGTTACTTTCCTGTTCGGATCACTTTCCTACTCGAACACTGGTAAGACAGCTCACCACCGCCCTAATTCCTCTAGGGTTCACATCAGAGTCACACTAGGACTCCTACTCCCACCAGGATTGGGAGACCAGACAGTCACTATATAAGCAGAGGCCAGCCCTCTCACAAGACACATGACATTACACCTTCACCCCTGAAACTCTTACTTGAGAGCTTCACATCACTGCCGTAGTCACAGTCCCCGACTAGACTTACGATAACCTCTCTACTCCCTAGCCCTTACTATACTAGCCTCTTTCAGCCTTGCTGACTTGAGCGTCGGAGTGCATATGGCCAACACCACCCCGGTGTTTTCCGTTCGCTTCACGCATTTGTTTCTCTAAGTGTACAGGTGCAGCGGATCGCTAGTGACCTCAACCTCACGGGATCAGACCCCTCTTCCGTACAAGTAGATTTTTACGTCTACACCGCACATCAGAGTTTGGCCGCTTGTATACCCGAAGAGAAAATTCTCGTTACAACCGGAGGAGAGTCTGGCAGTTGCTCTTTGTTGTGTCCAAGAGAAATAAGCATACAATATAAATATATTGGAATTTGTCCTAATAGAATGTTACAAGGATTCCGATAAAATTCAGGAATTTGTCTCGTGTTAGGAATCCTTAGTTTATTTCATTTTAATTAAAGCCATTCATAAGAATAATATTGGAATCCTAATCCAACGGGGAATTGTTTAATGAAATAATTAGTATATTTTATTTTTAATTATGCTAATAAAATTAACGTTTTTTCAGGTGCATGCTCCTGAGATTATGATCAATTTATAATTAATTGCACACTGTTATAATAAGATAATTTGCTACATCTTCAACCAGTTTACACTTTGCATGCATATATGCACTACTCATTAGCATTTTCTCTTTGTTCAAGTCTTAACCCTGATACAAATAGGATCCAAACATCTCTTATATTCTTATAAAATTTCTCAATCTGAAATAAAATTCAAGACATATTTATTATATTCTTATAAGATATTATAGAAAATTTTGCACATATTTATCCATTAGAAGTGTTTAACATTCGTAATTAAACCACCTACTCCAATCATCAACAAACACTAGGTAATATTTGTTGTTGACGTCTTGGACAAGTTTGTAATTAATTAAAGTGTTATCATTCACACAATTTCTATTCGATTATGATTCTTATTTTCTAAATGGACAATGTTATAGACAACTCTTAAAGTCTTTGAATTTATCACTCGGATAACAATTTTCACATTTTTATAAATGGATCTTCAAAGCTTGAAAATTGTATCATGAATACCTTTTTATCCTAACTTTATTATGTTGTCGTTTGTGACAATTTAATGGATAACGTTTTTTTTTAATTTAGAGTCCAACTGATAAGACAAAAAGATACGAGTGATAAGTTTTTCAAGCTTTGAGAATCTATTTGATAAAAAAGAAAAATGTTAAAATTGTTATTCAAGTGATAAATTTGAAAACCTTAAAGGTAAAGAAGGTTTGGGTACACAAATTCCTTAATTTTTATAGGAATCTTTATTTGAGACTTAATTTAGGTTGGAACTTTATCAACAGTTTATATATTTATATTGTGAATTAGATTTTTAATAACTTGATCACAAACAAGCCAAGACTCAAAACTCCATTGGATTACTGAGCCAAACTCTCCTGAAGGATTAATGGGGTCACCTTATTTCAAACCGGCCTCACATTCGTATGGCCCGAACTCGCTTTGTTACTGCTCGAACGGATCACCTTCTTACCTCCTGGGCTCACCTTTACGGAATATCGAAGAATGAAGCTGACTATGGAAAGATTGATGATGGAGGCAACCAAGCTGAGAAGGAAAAAAATGAAGGCTGATAATGAAGCCAAGATTGCCTAACGTTGGTCTACCACGTAGACGTAGGATCATGCTTTGATACTAGATGATAAGAACCCACTCCCAAATTGATATAAATTGGGCTGAACAATGGGTCTTTAATAGGAATTGAACTGGACAATATATAGACTTTTTGTAAGTTTGAATAGAACTCTTCTTAAAAAATCGGTTTGCTAAGAGAGGGTGTCCAAACCCTTTATAACTTACATGCCCACCATTTCCTTTCCAATTATAGGATTCTAACAAAACTCAACCCAGCCTCAACTTNGGGGTTAAAATTATAAAATATATAAACTATTAATACTTCTTCAAAATTTTAAAAAAGTTCAATAGGTTAATTAAACCCACAAACGTAAGATACCTCTAATCTTAATTTTTTTAATTGGCTATAAGCTTCAATCATATTTATAGATTTCTACGTTGAAAGAATAAGATGCATAACCCCAGAGGTTGATTTATTTTAACGACTGAATAAGAGAAGCCAGTTGTTATCAAAGTGGCTTCTAGATAACAATATGACGAATTGGAGAATCTTTGTGGAGAGAATATTTCGGGCATTCTTTGGTCTTTTTCAATGCATAAAGTTGATCCTTCTGGGAAAAAAAATACACAAACTTTGAAAATAACTCTTAGTAAGCAATGAGAAGGTGCATGCTTTATATAATTAATTGTGTTGATATGCTAGCTATCGTTTCGTAAACTTGTGCTGGACGGGTCTTCTTCTCGATCGTCAAAAGTTGGATGAAGATGTCTTGCTAAGCTCTAGCTTTTTAACGGTCCTTCTCCTTAATTCTCCATAAATGGAAAAGAGTGCTTCTGCTTTTATTGTAGTCAATTGAATTTGAAGGTAAAGTAGGGACACTCCGATCCTGTCCCAGTCCTACTCCTATGATAATGCCATCCCCTTTCTTCAAAAGGAGAACACAAAAATCTATGTAAAAAGTTAAGTAATGTTATCTACTTGTAGCAGAAGATGTTTAATTAGGTTGAATAAGAGTAAACTTAGACTTCTTGCTTCAGTTTTCACCTTCTTGTAATTGACCGCAGAATAATTTTGTTGTGTTGGAAATTCGATTGACCACAAAAAGCGTGGATTTGATTTCTAAAGACCAGAGATTGATTGGTTTGATTAATTGTCTAATAATGGGTTTTTATGTTTGAAAGGGTTCTTCTTGTAGTGAATTTTTTTTAATAACCAAAGGTGTCTAGACCAGCTTACATACACATCAACTAATTATTTGGGGTCTTGAAACTGTCAACCAAGTAAGAGTCTCAATGGCAACCTATATTAGGACTTGGAAGGACTCGAACTTAAGAGCTTATGAAACCTGCTTTTGCTTTTTTACTATCAAGTCATTAAGTGGTGGTTTTGTAGTAAATTCTTATGTTTATATTCTTCTTTTTCATAGCATTGTCGTTTAGCTCATTTAAACTTAAAAATATATGTTTAATGTCATCTGATTATAAATGTAATCAAGACAAAGGAGCCTTTACCGAAAGGTTGAGGGAAGTAAATTATTATCAAAATTGGTTGATGTTTGTTTGACTCATTGATGTGTTGAGAAGTTGAACTTCAAGTGCTCAACTTGATTGTGTTGATGGAGCATGTTGTGGTTGTAAGGGGTTCATTAATGAGATTTTGGGAGAAGTGAATAGTTCAGTAACACTTGCGCTATCTCTCCTGTTTTGTTGATTTAAAATTCAAGGGCATTATAGTCTTCATGGTCAACCATTGACAGAAACTCGTGGCTCTAGACTTGTAGGGGCTAATTGATAAATTTTTAAGAAAGCAATAGTTGTCATCCGCCTGTCAATTTCTGGAAACACCCCACTTTCAACCCTAAAATTAAAAGGCATGGTTACTGAAGTACTCTAAAGTGCTACACTAACAAAGCTTTACCACAAAGTAAATGGCATCTAGCTTCTAGTGTGGCCCAAGTTTCGTGGATGACTCTGGACCAAACAGTTTCCTTGCTGTTTAAAGTTATAATTTCCTCCTATATTGGTTCGTTATTAGCAGAAATTCCTTCCAACTCCTCGTCCCTTTTGGCCAATGATAAATTAGTCTCTGCACATTCCATAATCATACTGAAGAAGTTGAAACTATTGAATAAGAATGATATGTTTCACATAAGGATTCCAACTTCCTGGTATGATACCGCTTTCTATAATGGTAGAAGGATTATCATACAAACCACAATTAACACTAAACATACTAAATGAGATTGCATTTCCCATAAGACAACCATCACACTGAAAAACCAACAAAAGGTCCATCAGAGCCCCCACCAGACTCTCTCTCATTACTTGACCATTATCATTCTAGACAAAATTTAAGAAAAACACTCCTCATTTCTCACATAAAGAACGCTCAGTAAAGGTCGCCTTCCTTGTGGGTGTGAATCACACAGTCAGCAGTTGGGTACGAAACGCACGTCAGCAGATAACCCTCCTTCATTTGACCATCATCAAGGAAGGAACCATCGGACTGATCAACTGCACCTGACGCCAATTTCCCCGCACAGGTCGAGCAAGCCCCAGCTCTACAAGAATATGGCAGCTCAACTCCTGCATTCTCAGCAGCATCGAGGATGTAGGTGTCATCAGGGGCTTCAAACTCAGACTCTTGACCCTCCGGTCCAACCAGCTTAATCTTGTATACTGTCATTGATGCTTTAAAATTGGGAGAAAATCTCAGCCCAAAAGACTTGGAGATACTCTTAACTGATCCAAGCGAGGATGGACTCTTGATAATGGCACTTGACAACCGATTCTGCGGTGCAGCTTTAACCATGCACAGGGAGTTAAGTGTCACAGTTGCCATCTTCACCCCTGAATTCAAAAGCAATTGTCAGAGTTTATCGATGGTGCTTTCATAACTACTTAGAAGTTCAATTTACAACAAGTTTTGTCACTCTGGAAATGTGAAACTCTAATCTAATAAGCTAACTAATAGTAAATAAACGCACAACAGCATAATGACAATATAGCACAGGAGAAGAACTTAAAACACAACCCATGCATCTGACAAAATAAAACTTATTAATATACTAATGGGGGAATGATTATTAAGTATTCCATAGTAACATGCAAGAAAATTACTTCTCCCGATCAGACTTAAGACTCTTCCATACACACTTAACACATCATTCTTAAAGACGATTTAGTACACATTTGTCCACCTTGTACAAAATTACACAAAAATGGAAACAACTAATCCATTTCAGTAACGACATGGCAATTAATGTTTGGAGCACTATGAGAAGAGCAAGCTGTAGGCTCTCTGATCTTCACTCGAGGCTCCATCTTATAAAACAAGATAAAAGTACACTCTTTATATCCATTTCCAGCATACAGTATATTTACAAAACAACAAAGGAAACAATTTATAATTTGTCATAATTCTGGCGTACAAAGATTTATGGAGACTTATCCCCAAAAGTAATGGATTCCACAAATCTGATAATTAGAAAAAATTTATGGAGACTTATCCCCAAAAGTAACTAACATAGCTATTATGAGTAATATGAAAAAGAATAAAGCAAAAGAAAGGTTGTGGATTTTAAAATAATGAATTCCATAGAGATCAACTCCAGTATTAATACTGGCAAAGATTTGCTAAGCTAATGTTCTAAACTAAATAAAATTGACACACATACAAAAAATAAGTTTAGATTTAAAGTCAGCAAGCAATTTTCCTACTAAGATGCAAATAAACTTTTGGCATTTGATTTGATGTGCGAGGTAACAATGAATGAAATTCTACAGAACTAGATGCTCAGTACAAACACTGAAGTTTTAGAAGTTGTTTGGCTATAAGACATTCAGGTGTCTTTTATCAGACAATAAGAAATGATGGAATAGCTAGATTTGATAGTGACTACCCACAGATGAATTCTTATATAAACACCTAAATTTCTAATTGATTTGAAGTCTTACTTTTCACCCACTATGCAACATATACCATTAAGTATTTGAAAAAATGATCGGGAGATGGAGCACCAAGCTATTTGCCAACTTGATCTTATTCCCCAAATCCACCATATGAATAAAACCCTATGGGAGCTGAGACAAGTTAACATTCAGTTAAACTTTGAACAATCAGAACACAACATAAGAGAAACATCAACGAAATGCAATGCAAAGAAAATAATAGGAATTATATACTACACCCAAGCGAAATAAAATATCACAAGGACCCAAAAGAAGCACTATCATGACGTGAACAAATAACCAGAAAGTAATCTTCCAACAAATTTAAGTGACCTCACGGATACTAAAAAAAATTTAACCGAACAACGATTAATTAACACAGCCAATCAATTTGCACTTATTGCATAATTATTTGCCTATACCAAACAAGCCAGGGAGCATTAATCACAAATCTTCCTATGAATTTTAAGCTTTTAACAGACAAGATTTAATAAAAAAAAAAAAAAAAAAAAAAAAAAAAAAAAGTAGTAGAAGATTCCAGAAACACGGCCTCGTAAAAACTTTCCACATAGAGCACCGTATTTTTTGTTTATAGTTTCCGAAAGAAGAAAAACTAAAGGAAAGCGACACACAGCAGCAGATTTAAAGAGACAAATATTGCATATGAATGAAAAGAGAGATCTTACAGATAAGAGAAGAAGAGATCGTCGGAGGACGTTGTTAATGTTTATTCAAATAGAGGGAAGAAGCGGAGAATTCAAGGGGGCGGCAGTTGTTATTTATAGAGGGAGACAGAAGGCAAAATGGGTTTTAGTTTAGAAATGGACTTATTGAGCCCCCTGAGGTACCAGCAAATATTGAAAACCCTCTCAAGTTTTTGAAATAGTAAACTTCCCCTGTCTTCAAGTTTGAGGCGTTAAACTAAACGGGTTGAGGGTAATTTGGTAAATATATATTAACTTGTGTAGCATAAATTCTAACGGTTCACTAACAGTTGGGTAGTTTTTGTAATTTTAGAAACATTAGAGAAATTTTGTTATTTGAGAGATGACCACCCAACTAAAACCCTGCCTCTGCCCAACCCCAAAACCAAACCACTTACCGCCCCTGGGTTTTGTCTTACTACTTTTTACTCTTATCATTATTGAATATTTGATTATTCATTTTTTAAGAATTACTCAACTATTTATTTTCATTTTTTAAAAACAAACGAAAAATACGTTTTTAATATTGTATTCATATTTTTATATTATTTGTACGATTAATTACATCAGTTTATACAAAATAATGAGAATGAATTGATAAATAATGAGAATGAATTGATAAATAATGCGAATGGAATGGAAGGTAAGCTGAAGGGCAAAGTAACGAATTCATTCATAAAAATGTTATAAATATTTTGTCCTTTGGTTGAATTGAGAGACCAAATAACTACTACCAATTACCCTAATACACAAATGGAAAGCCAATGGACCATAAAAGGAAAGGCAAACGCCTCCTAACGCACACCATAAGCTATACATGTATTTATTTAATGACCAATTTGTTGTAAGTAATAGGCTGCTTACATTGTACTTGGACAATTCTCTATTTTCAGTTTTGGTTAACAATTTATTTGTCCAATCATAAATTTAGACTAAAATAATTCCCTATAACTATATTTTAGGTGTAATAAGGTTAATAACTTACCTTTATTAATTGTAATGGACATAGCCAATTCAGATTTCATCATCTTTCTTAACTTTCCAAACTTTTGATACAAGTAAAATCTAGTATTTTAAAACCTCACCTGGCCTAACCTGATTGATTGAACCGGGACTCGGGGCTTTCACTGGGTCAGGTTACCAATTTTATTATTGATGGCAAATCCTAAAAATTAGGACAAGGCGAACAACGGTGGCTAGATGTTGGAGGTTTTGACGAGGAAGGTCTGATGAGTCAAAAGGTGATAGTTTAGATGATTTCTGGTGAATGAAATTATCGGAAATCGTAAAAATAAATTGAAGGCAACAACAGACTATTGCTAACAGTTGGTGAGACGAACAAGGGGGGAACGAGATAGGTTTTGGTCAAGAGACTGAGATAAGAGTTTTGTGGTGATGGAGTGTGTTTGTCAACACCAGAAACATGCCCTATTTGATTTGAGTTGTCGACACCGAAATGTATTTTAAGAAGTTTTTGTAGGATTTTCAAATCTATAAAGATTTATGTATAAATTTAAGGAATGTTTCTACTAGATTTCAAGCTTATTTACATGCTGCCACATCACCAACTCGCTGATCAACCCAGTCCAACAAGTCAACCCAGAACCTGACCACTTATGTCAGGTTTTAAGACCTTGATTAAAACCATGGTTTTAAAAACCGGACCGGACTGGCCAGTCCAACCAGTTGGATCGGGACCCGGTCACACGTCTGGTTTGAGTCAATATAAAACCCGGTCATATTTAATAACCCTCTATGAACCGCCATTGAACCAGGAAAATAGTGTGAACCGTCAGTCCAACCAGACCGCTTGATAAACCGGTCCAATGTTTCAAAAGGGGAAAAAAAATCCCTAACTCTTTCCAGTTCTCACTTTCTCTACTTTCTTAGTTTCTCTACGCAAAATCCTCTAAAAATCTGAAATCCCACTCAATCTCAATGAACTCCACTCTCTAAAGTCTGAAATCGCAACCATTGTGTCAATCGCAACTCTACTCTCTGAAATCAACGACGACGCCTTCCTCCCTTGCTGGAAATCGACAACGACAACGACAACTCCATTCCTTGCTGGAAATCGACGATGACGACAAGAGCTCCATTCCTCACTGGAAATCGACGATGACGACAACTCTATTCCTCGACAACGATGACGACGACGACTCTATTCCTCGATGATAATGACGACGACAGCTCCATTCCTCGTTGGAAATCAATGACGACACCTCCATTCCTCCCTGGAAATCGACAACAACACAACTCCATTTCAGAAAGTGTAAGTTTTTCATGAGTCACGACCTTTTCCATTTTTGCAGATCTAGTTGATGTATCTAAGTTCTTGTTATATGATGATTGTAAGTGAGTGAAACATATTCGCGTAGTGGAAAAAGATAGAATATAAAACAAAACGAATCTAATCATCACATTAACAACCCAAAATCTGGGCAAAGACTATAACGATATAAACAAAACACTGTAAACAAAAATCTGTATGAATCAAAGTCTAACCCATACAAGGATTCGGAATACATTACCAACGTTTGGAGGCTCCTTCAATATCTCTAATTTGATCTCGCTCTCGATTCAAAGTAGAATCGCACTCACGTCGTCCACAAGAAGATAATCCGTAGAACTATCAAGGGATTTGCTAGATCCTCTTGATGGCTTTAAGAAGCAATGTTTTTCAATTAGTCAAGAAGAGAAAGAATATTTTCTCTTCAATCAATGAGTGGGGCGTGAGAAAGAGAGGTAAAAGGGTGGCTAGGGTTTTTTTTTTTTTTTTTAATTATTGAATGAATGAAAATTAATTCACTTGTTTTAATTTAAGTTGCACTTATATATTGCAACAATTAAAACCCTATTCCAATAAAGAATAGCCATGGGCTCCAACCCTAATTTACCCTTGCAACCAAACACACCCTTTATGGTATTTTAATTAATTAATTATTATTATAATTAAAATCTATTAATATATAATAATATATTAGCATTTAATTAATAATAATAATTCATTTAAATATATGCATAGATATATTTAAATATAATCTCACTAATTAAATTTCAATATTAAAATTAAATACAGGCAACAACCTCAGCGAATTAAATTGCACTGTGAGATTACCAAAATACCCTTTCGTCATAAAAAACAAAAATACCCCTTTCACAAAAACGATTCTTAAATTATATTCTAAGTGTGTGACCCGTAGGCTCCTCACCATATCAGCAGTGTGTAGTATCGCGATTAACACTAATTAATCGTCTCACTACACACAGACCAAGATTTGCCCATAGCAAGGCATCATGGCCACCCTATAAATTCGGATTCAGCGAAACCGCAGCCTGTCAACGATATGGTTACCGTGCAATCAAATTCTTTCATCAACTGTTATCTCATCGAGACTGAGGTACATAAATAGTGTCAACCTCAGATATCCTTGACATGTTTGTATTTAGTTAATGGACCAATGATCGGAATAATAAATTGGATTGAGCAGCAACTCAATCCCATTGTGGCCACAGATTTAGTGTCATTGTCATTTACTAAATTACCCAGTGAGATAACTTCTCCCGTACCCAAGAGTGATGAATCCTTTGTCGATCCACTATAATCTCGATACACTTCTTAATGTAGCCAATCATTACCGTGTTGATAGCTCTGAATAAAACTACATTGGGCTAATGTCAAACTACATCAATTGGTGCACAAGACGCTCCGGTGATCTCAAGTCTAAGGATCACATGCACTACCATCTGTTAGAAGATTTATTCCATAGACACTAGGGTTACCATCCATATGGAATCCTCTGGTGGGTCTATCTAGTGAACTTGCCTTTAGCAAGCATCCATGCGTTGCACCAGGTTATCGACAAACAACCTTGACAAGTGAGATCAATCACTACCTTTCGACAGGGTCATTCAACACTATGATAGCCTTATCTTATTATCTATGTCCTTAGTCAGAATAATACTGGGGCTACGGACGTTTCTAGAATGGCCACCATATGTGATCATAGGGTTCTCACTATCAAGATTTAAAACACTTGATACCCTTGTCACGGTTCTACCATCCTAAGGACATATATCATTACATATAACTATGATTTACATGATATAGAAGAATATGCATTTTATTGATAAATAAACATTTATTACAGAGTCAATTTTACAATAATAGATTGGCTCTAGGGCACCTACTCCAACAATCTCCCACTTGCACTATAGTCAATCATTCATGTATTTAGTACCAAATGACCTTAAGTGTTTTTCATGCTCCTGCTGCGACAGAGGTTTCGTCAGTGGATCGGTGAGATTGTCATCAATATGCACTTTACTAATCTGTATATCTTTCCTCTCAACCATTTCTCTGATGAGATGAAAACGTCTGAGTATGTGTCTGGACTTCTGGTGAGACCGTGGTTCCTTTGCTTGAGCGATTGCTCTATTGTTGTCACAATAGACATTTATCGAATCAACAATCGTGGAAACCACACCAAATTCGACTCCTTGGCCACATCGGATAATGCAATATACTCAGCCTCCATTGTAGAGTCCACTACAATGCTTTGCTTATAGCTCTTCTAGCTCACTACACCCCCATTGAGACAAAGTACAAACCCTGATTGCAATCGATAATCATCTTTATCCATTTGGAAACTAGCATCATTGTATCCTCTTACAGTGAGCTCATCTTCTCCTCCATAAACCAAGAACATGTCCTTAGTCCTCTTTAGGTACTTAAGGATGTTTTTGGAAGCTATCCAGTGACGCTCACCTAGATCCGATTGATATCTACTACAAGTGCTCAATACACATGAGACATCAATCCGAGTACACAACATGTCATACATGATAGATCCAACTGCTGACACATATGGGATCCTCTTCATTCTATCTCTCTCATCATGTGTTTAAGGACACATATCCTTAGAAAGATAGACACCATGTGACATCGGAAGAAATCCCTTCTTGGATTCTTCCATACTGAATCTCTTCAGTACCTTGTCAATGTATGTATTCTGACTTAGGCCAAGCAACCTACGTGATCTATCTCGGTAGATCTTTATTCTGAGGATGTAGGCTGCTTCTCCTAAGTCCTTCATGGAGAAGCACTTGGATAACCAAGTCTTTACCAACT